GGGTAATGTTTAGATGGATTTTAGGAATTTCCCCTCGATCCTATTGGCTCTAAAGGTTAAAAAGAGGTGTCAATCATCAAAATCGACCGATGCGTTCCAGAGATATGGCAAATGCACCCAAATGACCCCAGAAGTGGGTTTTTTTCTAAATCTCTCTAAAAAGGTCCAATTTCACTTGTTTTATATCAATCTTGATAGAGGGTACTTATTATATGTTATAGTGTGGATTCCTAAAGCTTTTTGTCTACTATCCCATCATTCAAGGGTGTTTTTCACTATAAGTATTTTTTTTGGATGAACACTATTATTTACAGTTTTTTACTATGTTCAATCTGAATTTTCTTTAAAATAAAACATCTATATTGATTCTGACTTTTCTACATCCAACTCACAGGTTTATCATTGCTTTGAGAAAAAAGATTATTAATTTTCCCCTTTTAGAAGTGAAGATATAGTCATTTGTTCTGGGAATGTCATTTTCGAGCCTGAGACTGTTGTGTTCAAAATTCCAGGAAAGACAGACAACTTCTAAGTTTAACTATTTATTATAACAGAGCAAAATATATATATTCACTTGGCCAAGGACTCCGCCACGTCATAGAAATTACAGGCAGCAAAGCTGTAATCTGTAACCACTATTTCCGGAAAGAGCCCCGACCCTCGTGCGACAATACATTTTTATTACTCTGGGCGTTGCCCGTACATTTATGATTGGTCAAGGCTAGATGAAGAGAAACCTTGGTTTAGAATTTGGCTCTCTCTCGTTGGTGCGCAGACTCAGACAGACTCTCTTGGCAACACAACCTTTCAATCAGCATTCGGCCGGCCTGTGGAAGTCCCTCCCTACTCTGTCGCCATCATACGTAATTTGTTTTTGCTAAGGTTTCTACAGAAAAAGTGGAATCTTCATAAGGCTGCTTCCTAGCTATGTGCTCAAGGTCGGAGTGATGACCTGTTTATGAATAACTCTTTGTATTCTTCCATTATTCTTGTTTGCTCCTGACCTTGCTACTCTGTATTGCAGGCTAAAGACGTCTATTTATTCTAAAGTCACAGCAACATAAAATGAACACAATAAGCTTATAATGTAATAATAAGAATCAGTCTTTCTAATGTTAGATAAAAATAGCCTCCACAAGACCTGAAAAACAGCCTCAGGGCCTAAACAGGTTAAATGGGTTACCAGCTATAGTCAATTATAATCACTCACAAGAAGTTAAGAGGCAACGTCACGAAGTTAATTTGATTGAAACAATCAATCAATCAATGTTTGTTTATTTAGCCCAATATCAAAAATATTACATTTGTCTCAGTGGACTTCACAGTTTGTACAGAATATCAGTATGAGAATACGACACCCTCTGTCCTTAGACCCTCACATCGTACAAGGAAAGACTTCCAGAGAAAACCCACAGTTTAAAGGGGAATATGGGAGAAACCTCAGGGAGAGCAACAGAGGAGTGATCCCTCTCCCAGTACGGACAGATGTGCAATAGATGCCGTGTGTAAATCGAAAAGATAATACATTTACAGCGTAGGTAGTCCAAACGTTTGGAAATGCATGTGTCTATAATAATAAGATGAATCCACGAGGATGTCAGCAATCCTGTTGGAGCCATCAGGGAAGTAGTATGGTGAGAGTCAGGCAGGACCGTAGAGACAGGTTCAGCCTCGACTCGAATTCCAGGACTCAGATCCAGTACTCAGGATAGAGGATCCAGGACACATGACCACAGCAAAAGGATTAGCCTCGACTCAGGATCCCGGCGTATATATGGACACAAAAAAGAGATTTTGGGGAAGCTGGGTTAATCGGAACATGAGAGTACACAGGTACAAACAGACAGAAAGGCGGAGTAAGGTGCCCTCCCCCCAACAGTCCAAGCCTATAGCAGCTAAACTAACGTGTCTACTACAACAACTTTCTACATCACCAAAATTGATCATTCATGTTGCTGTATGTATATTTTTGACCCAGCAGATTTGATCACATTTTCAGAAAAATCATTATAAATTCATAAAAGGACCAAAATTCATGATTTTTGTTTTGTGACAAAGTAGTACTGTATGTGCTCCAATCACTCTATCACAGAAAAATAAGAGTTGTAGACATTATTGAAAATTCAAGACTGTCATGATATACATGTTTTTTCCAAGTGTATGTACACTTTTGACCACAACTGTATAGTGAGGCAACACTGACCAGGCATAGTGTGATGCTTTTTGTTTTTACCAAACTTTTAATGACCGTCTGTTCGCTGTAATTTCCTGTTTCGAAGACCAGCACACTGCCCCATACGATTTCCTGTGCGAACAGACGGTCATTAAAAGTTTGGTAAAAACAAAAAGCATCACACTANCAATGTCAGGTGTGAGACAATTTAACAGGGGTGTTGGGCAGGTGGTGGAACCTCAACCTCCTCTAGGGGGGGGTCCGGGGGCAAGGTCCCCCGGGGAAGATTTTTTTAAATGTTGAAGTTAAATGCATCAATCTGGTGCACTGTGAGAGCAAATTAGGGACTAAATCTATGGCAGTCAGTAGGTGCTGGACTGTAAGTCGTAGGCGTCGCTGGTTCAAAGTCCCCGGACCAGACCTACATTTGGAAGTGTGGGACTTCTACTTGGAGAGGTCCCAGTTCACCTCCTGCCCTGCCGTGGGTGCCCTCGAAAAAAGGCACCGGAGTATTCCCCCTTCCCCCCTCACTCCCATGCTCCCCGGGCACTGTACAATACTGCCACTGCTCCTAGTACTAGACTCCTGAGTACTACGATGGCGTTTAAATGCAGAGAACCACATGCATATCACTGTGTGTGCTGTGGTGCTCTGCATGTGTGTACCATTAAACAGGGTTTCATCCCTCCCAATTCTTCTTCAACACCCTTATAAAAAACGAACTAAAACAGATTTTAACTTTTTCTTTCAACATTTATTTGAAACAGCAAGTGGAGGCAAAAGTTGACTGCACCCAAAACAATAAACCTGCTAGCTAACTAGCCTAAAACTCAGTTAACAGAATGTGGTTCAACACGTTCTTCTCCCACAGCCGCGCGACCTCTGAATCAGACGTACTTCCTCCTCAGCCGTACAGCCACTCCCCTGAACCCTGTTTCCCTGCCAAACCCCCCCTCCCCTCCTCCCTGTGCAAGCCCCTCCCTCTTACCCAGGGCTCGCTTACAATACTAGTAGCTTATAAACATACAAAAAACGCCTTTCGCTTTGAAGCTTGTTTATCCATCTGTAATCCAACTGCCAGCTAGGTCTCTCAGTCACTCACTCCGATCTGTTCACTGCGCAGTGACAGCTGCTACGGGCCTGATTGTGAAATTGAAACTGATAATAGAATAAAGGTAGCCATCAAAACGGCCTAGCCCAGGCCCCGTGGGCCACACCCCATGGCTGGGCTGCCGTGAACACTTACAAATGATGGGGCCGTAGGATTTAGGTTTTTTTTTAGTTTTTTTTTTTTTGCCCTTCCAGCCCACCATACAGCACAGCCACCGGGGGAAACTCCATTATTCCCAATGGCCAGTCCGCCCTGAGTCCAACCACAGCATGTCCCAACACATAGGCCTTAATAAATAATAATAATTAATATTTATAGCCTATAGGCCTAGCGCTTTCTACAACTCATAAGACGCTTGCACGCTTACACATTGTCCTAAATACACATGCTTGCAGCTGCCCAGGCTGCTCACTGTTGTTAAAAGTAAATAAATACTATTTTCATTTCAATAATGTACTTTCTATACCCTGCTTCATAAAAAAATACTGACATCCCTGTTGCTCCTCGAGTTCTGGGGTCCGGGATGTGAGGACAGCGCGAGGTGACACAGGGAGGCTGCTTCATCTCATAAAGGAAATGGCGGTCAATATTAACAACACCCCAAAGGGGAGCTAAAACGCTTAATACCTTCATTAACATGTGAGAGAAAGAACATAAGAAAGTTGACAAGATGAGGGCTGTTAAACGGGCAGCGATCCCTGTGTGTAGAAAGAGATGAGAGGAGACGCTGAGCTGCACCGTGGCAGCGATCAGCTGATACGGGAGCATAGAGAGAGAGCTCTGCGGTCCGCGGGGCACGGCCCGCCTCCTGTCCTCACAACTTCTTATCAATCCCGGGGACCGGACAATTGTTATTTGTTCCTCCTCAGAACCGAGGTTTTGCTTCCCAACCTGCCACTGTGCTACATCCGCCCCCCCCTCCCCGCCCCGCCCCGTCAACTGGACGAAAGCGGCGAGATGCATTCCTTAGGAATCGACAAGCAGAACCGAAACTAACATTTATAAACGAACAATTGTGGACACGTACAAATTTGCGAATGATTCCTGCCTTTTGCCTATCCCCTGTGTGCCTTGGTAATTTGTCAATAAATCAGGGCGAAAAACGTCACTTGTCCACCGGACAAGTCAATTGAAAGATCTACTTGTCCGATATTGTAAATAACACGTCCCGGACGGTGGGACGTGTACTTTTTCGCACACTGATCCTTGCTTATGTACATGTATGTGCTTTTTTGTCAGTTGTGTGTTAATGTTTTTTTTTATTAGGGTGTTCAAATGTTGCTGTAACAAAAACATTTCCATAATCAACTAAATAGACCTAATTGTATCTTATCATATCTTTATATGCGCTTTTTTATGCTTTTATTGCAGCAATCTTGAGTATTGTCCTTATGTGTTCAATTCTGCTCAGGTGCTTCAGCCTGTGTGTATGTGCTGCATTGTGCTCATATGCTCTTGTATGTTTTCTTTCAATGCCATCAACCTGCAGGTCAAAATAAGCCTCTATGACTAAATCTGGCATGTTCACATGATGGACTCAAGTGCTCATGTTGTCCCTTCTTAAATCATTAACAACAAATACAAAATACAAATATATGGATGCTGGTTTTATTGGCATGATTGCATGAGGGTATTTCCTATATAGATACAGTTTTCTTATGTTACTCTATCAACTTCATTTATTGAACTAACATTTGAAGATGTATTGTGTATACTTCATGCAGTGCGTATGGACATTACCTGTCTGTTTTCAGTGATCTGCAGCACAACGTTGTTGTCCAGGACGTAGATGGAGTTATCCATTGGATTGATGGCTAGATCTGTGGGCCATTCCAAACGAACCTGGATAAAAAGAGGAGAGAGACGTTCACTTCACATGCTACTCTTTAATTATACATTGACTTGCTATCTGATACTACTGATGATGTACAGGGTGTTTCCTGGTGGAATTCTGCCAGTTTATCTGAGTTAAATGAATCACAACACATGGCCTTATGGTACTGTTTGAGATTGACAGATGGATTACAAATGTTATGTAAAAACAAAACAGATTACTGCTGCTTCAGAAAGAGAGAGAACAGGTTGCTTAAGGCCAGATCTTCTTGACTGAAAATAAAGAGGACTGAGGGGCATATGTCAAATATATATCTGATGCAGTTTTTACTAAATCTCCAGACATATGCATTTATACACCTACTTAAATTGGCCAACATGAATCTGCAGTCAGAGCTGAAAACTTAAAAAGTATGTGGGCCGCCGTTTATTTGTTGACTAAGTGAACTCAGGAGGTCAACCAGACAACAGCAAGTCAAACTGAGCTAAGCTCTGAGGAGGACACAACTTCACACAACTTCAACTCTGCAAGAAATGCTCAAACAGACCCCACAGAGTGTCAACGATTAGATGAAACAAGACCCAACAACAATGAGTGTGTGTGTGTGTGTGTGTGTGTGTGTGTGTGTGTGTGTGTGTGTGTGTGTGTGTGTGTGTGTGTGTGTGTGTGTGTGTGTGTGTGTGCACATGTGTAGGTGGTGTCCATCCTGAAGTCCATCTTGTGTATGTAAGATTATACATTCTCACTCTGAAACAAATCTAAAGTACTCTGCATTCCTCCATTTTACTCCCTCTCATACTCCCTTTCAGTTTCTCCTCTGACTGATGTTTTTTTTATATAAATTAAGAAAAAGTCTGTAAAGGTCATCAAATCCAATCGTTAAGATTTAAAAACAAAAATGTTCTGAGGGCACATCAGAGCCACAAACTGTATGAACTGGGTTGAATCACAACCTCCTTTAAACTAGCCTTTTTGTGTCTATTTTACAACCCTGTCACCCATTAATCACATACAAATGCAACTTATTTGCAGAGCAGTTTACATGATGGAAACAAGTTGTTCCAATGCAAATGTGACATTGTTAATCTAAAGGGGAGTAGTGACAGGAAAGCAGTCAGTCTGCATGAAGTATAATTAGGTAGACTGTTAGACTGTTACCTGTCTTATGTGCATGCTGGTGTCGCAGGTCAGAGGTCGTGCAGAGGTCAGGTCGTTGCTGCCCAGCATTGTGGAAATGATTCCATTACGATCAATTTTCCTGATCATAGTCCCGTCCACAAAGTAGATCAATCCGTTCCTGTCTACTGCAATCCCTGGGGAACAGAAACAAGGAACACACACAACTCAACGCATGGCTGTCCAGGTGATTATTAATACATCAGCTCCAGGATCCAAAGGAGGAAAGGAAGGCGAGGTATTCTCCTGTGGGGAGGCAGGATGCAGCTGCAGCATAATGCAGATAATATAAAGAGAAAAAACACGAGTGTATTAAGGCAAAGCCAGCCAAGATGAAAACTGTCAGCAGTGATAAAAGATATCTATACATTAGATGAGCAAAACAGAATATAGTATAAAGAAATAAGAAAACAAATCTGTAAATGTTTAAATATACTATATACAATTGATATGTTGGCCATCACATTTTTTCAGTGTCCACCATACGCTGTTCCTCTTGGTTCAAAGGTCCACTCAAACACTGAACACATTCATAATTCTAATATATGTAAGGACACATGTGGCTGTAGAAGTCTGTCCTCCCATAGCACTTCCTGTTACCTTCAGAGGACAACAGCCATCCCACAGGGACTCCTGAGGTTATTTTGTTCAGGATGCTAAGTTGCTATATTCTGGTATACGGAGGTTCCGCACCCCGTGCACATGTTGTGTTGCATGTTATAGGGAACAGTTGTTCTGAATGGCGACGACGGGGCAGACGTTTTTCATGCACCTGATAGGAGTTTGATGCTGCGCTATTTCCCTCTCTTTATTTAAATAAACTAACTAAAGCTAATCACAATTAAGCGTGTTGATATGGCAATAAAATACACAATCTTATGATTGCCACTAAACTAATAACCTGAGTTTACACCACGGTACAGCTAAAAACAAAATGTAATGCTTGAGATTTGTGTCACCCCATTTTCTCATCATTACTACATCTGAAAAGATAACAATCACTTACAATGGCAAGTCACAATTCAAAGATCATAACCAAACTATTGAAAATCACAAAAGAGTGTTTTATCAGACAACTCAGAGACCTTAATAAGATTCACTAAAATTGTCCATGAAAAAAGCAAGAAATTAATGTAATGTATACGGTTGCTTTGTGAAAAAAAACACTATTTTTATAATTAGAATGATTAAATAATGTAAATGTAAGCATATTTCCTTTGTTAGTTAGATCAGACCCAACACATTCAGGAAATTGACATACTGATAATACGATGGCGCAAAATAGCAACGATTGTGACTACAACAAATACAATACAACAAATACATACAGGCTTTTAAATTCCATATATGCTTTTCAGAAGTGGAGTAAATGTGCTGTATGTTATAATGTATTCAAACTACAACACCATGACATCATCATCAAATGTACTGCTTGCATAACCATGTATTCAGTGTTTTTTATGCAGCGATATTGATTTTAAATATCCAGACAAGTGGAAATGTGTTATGCCAAGCATTAATGATTTTAATTTGCATAAAATCTTTATCCCACCAGGTATATTGTCGGGGACATTGTTAATCTGTGTTGAGCTTTGAGGCGCAATAAACACAGTCCCAGTTGTGAGGAAGCCAGTCATCTCTATGGAAGCAGTATTCCCAGGTTGCCAATTAAACAGGAAATGAAAGAAATGGTGTGAGTGGTGTGAGTGGAGTTGGTGCAGCTTGGTGGATGGAGCAATTACACCACAGATACAATTGGTCATAATAAGTTTAATGCAATAAATGTCTTTGAATAGCTCCTACTGTACATACATAAACACATGCCGTGCACATGCATCATTAATGGCCCACTGGCCCAGTGTGGGGATTTCTAACAAGTCAGTACAGCTCTGAAGCTCTACTGGGTTCTGGTATGGGATGCAATGCTAAAGATGAGAAAACTGATGTAATGATATGCTTCTGTTTCTAAATGTAGGATAAATGTGTGATATGAAAACAGATGAAGGGTATGAAGTTGGGAAGTCAGTGTGTGTGTGTGTGTGTGTGTGTGTGTGTGTGTGTGTGTGTGTGTGTGTGTGTGTGTGTGTGTGTGTGTGTGTGTGTGTGTACCTTTAGGTCCCAGCAGTTGTGCCTCTGTAGCTTTTCTTCCATCTCCACATCGTGCTTCATCAAATGGAGGACATTGTTCACCTGTACCAGCCACTACTTCTCCATTACCTGAAAACACATAGCATCCATAATTACAACATTCCCTATGCTTGAACTTTTCCAATACCATAACAGCAAGATGAATCCACAATACAAAAATAAATGCAACTGGGGAAATGCAGTGCACACTTACTGATGAGGTCACGGGCGCCGCTGAGCATCTTGGGTCTGTAGATGCGGCGGGAGTTAGTGTCCGACACGTACAGCTGTCCTGTGACCGGGTCCGTGGCCAGGTAGTACCGGTGAGCAGGGTTGTTGCTGTGGAGAGGGACAGACCATATGTTACTTATTAGATATGTAATACATTCAATACTGTGGACAACACCCTGGGAGTAGTGCACTGCAGTGGGGGTCAAGGTTGGATTGAACCGATGCACTAACTCACTGCGCCACAGCCAGCGACTTTATAAAGTCACTATTTATGACACCAGTATTTAAAACATTTAAAACATTAAGAAAATAACATCCTTCATGATTTACTTGCTCAGATCACACCATGCTGACAATTCACTGCATGATATGAATTTTGTCTGGAAACACAAAGAAGCATTTAAACCTAAAGGTAGTTTTAGTTTTAACAATATAACAAATTAGTTTAAAGCAGATGAATTACACCCTGCTTCCATTTTTGGAAAGGACATGTTCTAGAGCTCTCTTTGACACACACACACACTCTCTCTGACACACACACACACACACACACACACACACACACACACACACACACACACACACACACACACACACACACACACACACACACACACACACACACACACACACACACACACACACACACACACACACAGATATATTTATATACTTGCCTCTAGCCATAATTCGCAGTGCAGAAGATCCTATGAAGGTAGATATGGTGTCAAGGGGGGCGATATAGCGTGTATGTAATTACATTGCAAATACTGACTTGATTCCCACCACTGTATGGGTTAGGCCTACCATAGATTACCCAACAAAAATACTCTGGAGCCGCCACTGAAAGTCCGACATGACAACCTGTGCAGCCAATGTATTGATTCCATCTGATAGCTGCTATAATAAAAAACAAAACGTCTGCCCCCTCCACAATGATTAATAACAGTGAACGGATGGTCAAATAAATAGAATCACTCGAAGCCTGGTTACTGGTTATTGTTGCCCGACTTTATAAAGTGTATTTTTTTTACAAGTGTGTGGTTGCGTTCTAGTCACTTTGCTCAGCCCTACTGCTTGTTTCAACTTTTATTTGCCGTAGGCTACTCTCCCATAAACTGTTAGTTAGGGTTAATCTCGCCCCCCTCCGACGTAAGCGTGACGTATGCGGTTCTTGCCTAGGCCAACACTTTTTTCGAGCTTGGTAAGAACCGGTTTTCGGGGAAAAGAGCCGTCTCCGCTACGGCGTGAACAGGAAAAACCGGTGCTTATCAGGCACAAGCTCCGAACCGGCCCTGGAACCGCGTTGGTTTGAAAGGGGCAACATGCAGGGCCCCACAGTATTCCGGTTCGACCTGACATGGGTGTGTGACTGACCCGAGCTTGCGCCTCTTCGTTCTGATAGCTCCGCCCCTTCGCTCCAACCCCCCTCCCTCCCCCCACATCTACAGGTGAAAATTACTTTAGCGACACATTCATCGCAAGAAGTGTAGCAAAAGTCAAGGCCGCAGATTCGTGGATTTATACTGCCACAGAGCAGATTCGTGAAGTTGTAATGACTGATTCGACCAAGTTGCAGTTGTAATGGAAAATATATTTAAAAAATATGTTTCTTTCTGCAAGTGAACATTTCATCACTAAGTAAATTTTTTTCCTGCAAGCTACAAAACCTTTTTTTCCTTCTTCTGTGACTTCAGATTTGGTTCACAGATACGTGGACATTTTATACAAGTGTAAATGTATGCACACAAGCTCAGACTTTTTTCTGTAAGTGCTCACATCAGGTTTTACACACTCTCGCATTATGCACCATATCCTTCATAGGATCACAGCCTCATAATTAAGAAAGCTTAAATTAGACGAACTGTGTGTGTGACACTGAATCATTTTGTGTGTTTCTGTACTTGTGAAGACCAGACGTATGTATAAGCATGCCCTTTTATTTAATTGAACATTTATTTAAGCAGAAACATTTTAGGCAGGATAGGCAGTACCACAGAAAAAAACATGATGTCAGACAGACTACACAACAGATATGGAGAACTAGTAGCAGTGATGGATGAGAAATTATGAAGAAAACAGACAAAGAGCGCAGGGAAAGCAAAGAGGATTTGAAATTGTGAAGACAATAAATTAAGAATAAGGCAAAAGAAGGCGACATAGAACTGAGGGGAAGTATGTCGATAAGTTGGCCAATACGGAGTGACCGCTACCTAGTAGGCCAGTTTGAATCCCGTGCACTGGAACAATACAGGCAATGTCCTCCCCTCTGTCCCCCTTTTCACCTCTATATCTCAAATACCCCACCAGACCAGTTCCAGTTCTGGCACCTTGTTTGTGCTTTTCTGGTTCCAAGCTGGTTCTTCTTTTTAGCCCCACTTGTGTTTCCACCACTCAGAGCCTGACTGCTGCTGCGCCATGACATCACCCTTTACGTCGCTGATTTTCTCCCCAATCCCGCTCACAACAACAACAATGGGGGACTGCGTCGGGTCGATGATCGTGTTGCTTTTAATCATACGAAGCCAGATTCAATTAAAAAACGACTTATCCAACCTTATACTTTTCTCCAGAGTGCCGTGGTTCCTTGTTTATTAATGTGTTTCA